GAATTTTCAACTATAAACTGGGCAGGTTAACAAAAAATACATCCCTACAGTTTCGCCGGGTAGAATTTGGTTCTCTGGCCGAATACTCTGGCAGAATACACTGGTGGAATATTGAAAGACAGCACCAAATATCACAGTTCAATCGTACCTCACTTCTAGTCATAAACTAAATTTCGCCTGACCTGAAGGCCTATAACTCACACTAAATGACGCCCCACATCTATAACAGTGTGTAACAAGGGCGGGGTATGCCGGATAGATGTTCTAGAATTTCCTTGGATATTCTGGGCAAGCAGCATTATCTGAAAGATTTGATGGCACGATGACATTATAAAGTTAAAATTAAAACTGAAAAAAATAACAAATTGGCAAATGCTGTGAAAGAGAACGTTATTGCAACTAAACCTACAAAAGGTAGCAAATCGGAAAGAAATGCCTCGTTTTTGTTTTGGATTTGTAGTGTGGCGCTAAGTAGTGAATAGGCCTTCTAAAATTTAGCTCCTTAGCTTTCGCGGTTATGGAATTAAATGGACTCGCGGAACCATGCGACACTGATTAGTTAATCACATCGCAGTTGGTTTATGTAAATACCAAGAAAAAAAGCATAAAAGGAAATAAACTACAATAAAGCAAGCATTGTAATTAGCTGAGAGTGCAAGTAAGGCAGATGCCAGTCAGCGGTGTGTCCTTTTTCGGGTTTTTGATTTGGTTGGCGAACTAAGATTTTTTTGTAAGAGAAGCTACTTCCTTTCTATAATATGAGGGAAGAGCTCAGTCGAAGCTAAGGAATGTTACGGGGCCTGCTGCAGTGACAATGAATGATCGGACACTTCAGAAAGCATAAAACAAATCATCAAAATAAAAATTGTATGGAAAACGAGGATTCAGATAGGAAATTCAGTCAGAAATCAATTTTTTTTCTTCAAACACAAACGGTTACCTACAGACGGTATGATTGGGCCTATCAATGAAAGGTATTCGAGCTGCTTTCGTAGAGGTGGCGCTCATACATCGAACAGGCGATACTCACTGAAGAAAAGCAGTTTAGAATTGAAAGGCATGGCACAGCTATACCCGGCTTGTGGAAGCATCTCAGCGACGCCACTAAATTCGAACCT